AAGGTTAAGTAATGTGGCATGGGTCCCTGTTAGTAAGTATCTGAGGAAAGTTTTGGATTTGGGTCTTCCTAATTCTAGGCCCAGAGCTCTATCTGCTGTACTACCAGATGCCTTGCCAAGGGGGCAAGAATGTGTGTGTGGGGGGGCGGTTATGAGAAAATGGTGATGGAGCTCAGGAATATTGAAAGAGCTGTTGGGTGGAGACTAGCTAGCTTCTGTACATACAAAGGTGGAAGAGGAGTGACCAGGAGGAGGCCTGGAGTTCTGAAGGCTTCGAGGGAGCAGAATTGAGAGGTCACTCCCAAACGCAACCAAACTCCCCTTGGTTTGGGGATGGATGGGTTGTTCTTTCATTTGAAGAAGGTTAGAAAGCTGTATATGACAGACAGATATGTCACAGATGAGAGACACGGCTAAAGGCCAGGGACTTTTAAATTGCTTAGCGAAGGCCTATGCAACTGAAGTCGTAGAAGTGATTCCTTGAGGACAGTTGTGGCCTGTCTTTCCTGAGAAGGTCATGTCATTGCGGTGTTTCACTATGGAAAAGGTGTGAGATTGAGAGTTGAGAGGCCTGGTTCTCTCCTGAACTGTGTGACTTTGGACACATCATTTCCCTTCTCTAGGCCTCAGATTTCTCACCTACACAATGAAGCTGGTGCTGTTTACTCTCCAATCAATCAACATTTACTTAAGTACTTACTGAGTGCCAGGCTAGGGTCTAAACTCCATGCCACCTAGCTTGTCTTGATATTGTCAGAGGCCAGATTTGAACTCAGGTTTTCCTGAATCCAGGCACAGTGCTCTATTCTACTGTTCTACCCAGCTACTCCCTATGGCAGGGCTTAGGTCTTTTTTTTTTTTATTTTATCTTTAAATTCTAGGCCTGGCATTGTGTTGGACATTTAATAGAGCTTAAAAAGTACTTGTTGGAATGAATTGTCTTTTAAATGCCAAATTTCTTGTGAAATAAATATTAATCTAGAAGCCACAGGATGGAATAGATTGTTTCTGAGGTTCCTTCGGTCTGAGAAGCCCTCCCTTGGTTATAAAATATCAAGGAAGTAGTCTGTGATAAGGAAAATAAAAATAAGTAATGCTCCAGTGCTCTGTGGGAATGTACTTCCTTCTAAGAGTCGCTATCACTGTTCTACCTGCATCCAGCAGTTATTAGCACAGGGACAAGAAAGAATCTTGTAGAGTTTACTTTGCACTTTCCTCAGGTCATGAAGAATCCTTAGGTCCAAGAGATAAAGTTTGACATTCACATGACTGAGCTCAGGGGAAAAAAAATAATGTAATGTTCACTATAATATAATGTTCATTTTACCCCCCTGCTTGGGTCACCTAGTTCAAGAACCTCTCCCCAACCTGTCTCTGCTCCAAGATTTCCTTTATAGGCAAGTTGGCTTACTTTAGAAAACGATTTCTAACTTCTGTAGGGAAGTGGTTTTCTTCTACTTTCAGGTTGACTGATCTCCCAGGTAGGACTTCAGTGTTATTGAGGTAGAACTCAACACCACCTAGGGCTAGGTAGGGAACCAGACCAAGATGGGTCAGTCATCTCTGCTGCAAGGAGATGGACAAGAGCAGGGCTGTGGAACCCATGGCCCTCTGTGTCCTCCAGTGTGGCCCTTTGATTGAATCCTAACTTTGAAGAACAAATCCCTTTTCTGTGAAGTTTGGATTCAGTCAAAGGGCCACACTGGAGGACACAGAGGGCCACAGATTCCCTACCCCTGGACAAGAGTGACATGAGATGAGAAGGCCTGGATGGCTTGGGAGCTATACTACTGGGTGAAGTCCACATATCCAGAGGATCACAGATGAACTTAAGGATAGACAGCAAAATTTTTACATGAAATTCAATTTTATAGAAACAAGAAAAAAATCTCGGGGCAAAAATGTACCCCTGATCCCATAAAGGAACCAAAAGGAGCCTTGGCCTCAATGCCATAAAGCAGATTGCCGGAAATTCTTCAGGATCCATTGAAGTCTTCCATAAGGTCCTACCTTGAGGGAGCAGGCTGTAAAACATTTCTTACATATTAAAACCAAAAAAAAAAAGGGAGGGGGAGGGGGACATAATCCCTAGGTATGCATATTTTTACCCTGAAGAATCAATTTAGAAGATTTTAAAATTTCCAATCTAAAAAGGCTTATTTTTTTCATTTTAAATTGGTTTTTAATATTTCCCCTCTTTTATCAAGTCCAAATTTTGCTTCATTTGGTAGATTTTTAAAGAACTGTCTGTGAAAAGCCCTCCACTGCTTTCTCAATTCACCAGCCATAAAGATAATGTGTGGTCCCAAATGCCCTGTGTTATCTTTCTATCTTTTTCTCTGAGCACCCAGACTTAAATAGCAGCTTCCAGAAATGTGTTCCCTTGATGCTTTTCTGCCATGCTTGTCCTTGGGGAGCCATATCTTCAGGGCGGTAGGAGAGATCGGAATCAATGTTAACATGGTGGGGAGGCAGGGAGGTGTGGCCCCGCTGAAATGAGTAGGTCTTCACTGACTCCAGTCTACAATGACAGTCCTTGTCTGATAAGACTCCCCCAACAGTGAGGTGTTATGGCAAGTACCTGCTTTGTGTCAAATATGGATGTTGGATTGGAAAAAACAAATACGCAGAATCCACATTTCACCACAAAGCTCTGCAGCTTGAAATTGGCCTTTCCCTGATGTGATTTTCTTTTGATTTGGTAGAAAAGTAATCCAGGCCAGGGACCTTGGATTAAGATACACAGCCAAGTTCCTGCCCCCAGACCCCAAGGCAGCATTCTAGCAACATGCTGACTTGGAAGTGGGATTATAGGGACTTTCCTGTCCTTGCCTCGTCTGGAGGTGTTGACATGGTTGGGTTCTGTGGAAGGTACTCTCTGAAAATGACGCCTGCTGAGCCCATGCTCCAGTGACAGCATGTCTGACTTGCCCTGGTGTTACCAAGAAATGTCACTGGAACTTGTATGTTGGGTTTCCTATTGGGTCAGCACAGATAATTAGCTGGGTTTCAAAAGTATTTCACAAGGCAGGGCAGGAAAGCAGCCTTGGCCTTGCTGAAAAGGAGTTGCTGGTGATAAGTGGTATCAAAACAGCACCTGTAATAAATTGAGAGAGACAGACAGAGAGTGTATGTGTGTGTGTGTGTACATGTGGAACATGAGGCATGTTATTGCATTTTCTTTTTCCTTTTTTACAGTAGAGAGGGGGATGGGAAGGAGACAAACACTTGTCAATGGGGGGAGACTTTATTTTGAAGAAGTAAAGAATGGGAGGCATTATTATTATTAGCACAGTTGGAGTTTGGGGTTCCTGGCTCAGCACATTCAGTTGAGTTGGGTGGGAAGAGTGGCCAGGGAGGGAGAGGGAAGCAATAATGGAATTGAGGTATAGAGGCCAGCTTAGTCTCATTCAAGGGGCTGAGGACAGTTGTCTTACATAACACAGGCCTGTGGAGGACCATGAGTGGAGATATGAAGCTGTGATACCCTCCCACAGTGTAGCAGCCTGGGACAGAGTCTCAACTGCTCCTCTCCTAGGTCCAGTTCTGTTCCTTACGATCTGAATCAGAAATTCCCAAGGCTAAAGGAGGAGGAGGAAGAGGAGGAGGAGGCTGTCCCATTACATTTCTTGGCTAGGTGTGGAAGATGCCTGAGTAAGGACTCCCTTATTTCCTCCTTTTACAAATAGTCCAGTGGTTCTGTGATCTCATCAATGTAGGTCTTAACCAGCAAAAGTAACGAGGACTGTGAGCTGGAAGAGGCCATGCAGCAATGTTTAGACCACCACTTCTGCTTCCAGACAAGTGTGGTGTGATATCCTAGCTGTACAGAGGAAAAACTAAGGGCTGGAATTACTGGTGGCCCAAGTGAGTCTGACTCACCCTCTCTCCATACTTGGAGAAGGCTTTTCCTTTAAGTTTTCATGAAGGATCAGTTGATTGGCCTTTTTGCAAAGTCAGTAACTGAGGCAGGGAAGCTCCTTCTTAGCCTTTAGACAAGGATGAAGCTGTTCTCTATTCATCCCAGCAGTGGCAGCTCTTGGCAATCGGTGATTTCGCCGCTGTCCAAGCCTCCCTGACTGTGAGGTCGCTTCAGCTCTAATGATGTAAATTAGCCAGAGTCTCCAAAAGGTTGGCATCACTTGGCATTGCTCAACATGCTGACAGGCATCACTTAGCAACCCGAGCAAACATCATTCCTGGATCAGAAACAGGGTTAGTGAAAGAGAATGCAGCCCAGGGAAGCTTCACCCTGGATATTGTGTGTAGAGCAAGGCTTTGGGCTGTGGCTTTTTCTCTCATAGTAACTTTTAAGATGGAAGTTCTAAGCCTGTATTAAAAAAAATAAAAACTCCATTTTAGAGTAAAAGTAATAATTTTTTTTTCCATATTATCTCATTTGATCCTTACAACTTTGTAAGATAGGTATAATTATTATTCCCATCTTACAGATGAAGAAACTGAGTCTTGGAGATGTTGAGTGACTTGCCTGGCATCACAGAGTCAGTATCTGAGGGTGGGTTGGAAACTGGGTGTTCCCAGTTCCAAAGCTGGCCCTCCTACCATTGCACTAAACTGCCCAAATCTAGCCAGGACAGGTCACCTCCACTCCCCCCCCCTCACTCAGGGGATCAATGTTATTTCCTCTAAGCTGCGAGCCTTAAAGCCCTTTGTGACTGGCACCTCTTATTATTCGTCACGTTCCTTTGGAGCTCTGATTTTCTCACGAGCCTGTTGCTGAGGAGGATTAATGAGCATCACACAGTTGCCCAATACAAAGCTAAATTATAGGCTCTAGTCATGACAATGATTTCTTGTCAATCGGGGCATATCTTGTGATTCTTGAGCTCAGGGCAGCTTGGAGAAGCCATTAAGGAGGGGTTAGCTTTCACTCAGCTGCCACTGTTAGCCTTTCTGTCACTTTTCAGACTGATCTCAGGTTTACTTCTCCCTTTGACCCTGGCCTCCAACACTGAAGGCTTTGCCCTTGCTCTTTTCAGGTACCCTTCAGGCTACTCGAGCCTTGATGGTCATTGGAATCATCGTGGGGCTGATCGCCATCTTTGTGGCAACGGTGGGCATGAAATGTATGAAGTGTATGGAAGATGACGAGGTGCAGAAGATGCGGATGGCTGTCTTTGGGGGGCATCATCTTCCTTGTGGCAGGTAAGAACATGCCGTCTGAAGGTGCACTCCAGCCTCACTTTCTGGGATCCTGCACATTCTTCCCCTTCATATACTCTGCATGTCAGGTAATCTGTTCTGTTGGTTGATGCTTGGACTTGGCATTCCATCTCCCACCTACATTGCTTTGCCCAGGCTATTTATCATACCTCGAATGCACAGCCCGCCTCCCTCCAACCTCCACTCCCTTAAATCCTTGGCTTTCTTCAAAGCTTTATAAATACTTTAGAGACAGCCCAGAGTGCATAGAGTGATGGGCTTAGAGTCCAGAAGACTTGAGTTTGAATCCTCCCTTAGATACTTAATAACTAGGTGACCCTCAGCAAACCACTTAACATCTCTGGGCCTTGGTTTCCTCATCTGTAAAATACGTACAGTGGATAAAGTGGCACAGTGGATAAAGTGCTGGGTCTGAGGTCAGGAAGATTAATCTTCATCAGTTCAAATTTGGCTTCAGATACTTATTAGCTGTGTGACCCTGGGCAAGTCACTTAACCTTGTTTGCCTCAGTTTCTTCATCTGTAAAATGAGCTGGAGAAGGAAATGGAAAACTATTCCAGTATCTTTGCCAAGAAAACCCTAAGTGGGGTCACAGAGAGTCTGACAGAACAACAAAAAAACACAGATAGTAACAGCACCTAGGTCTCAGAGTTGTTCTGATGATAAAATGTGATAATATTTGTTAAGTGCTTTGCAAACCTGAAAGCACTGTGTTATTATCTAGCTAGCTATTATCATGAAGTGTGGACACCCTCCAGTGGACTCCTCTATCCAACTCAGAGTATACAGCAGGAGTTCTGTTCTGAGCCCCTAAGCATATTTCATCTCTTTAGAAAGCTGACACCCATGGAAAATAATGTGAAATATTTGAAGACTATAAAATTTGGTGGAACAGAGTTTAGGTATTGGTATTGATTTAGTGGTACAGCCATAGTATCTCATTTGACCCTCAAGGAAACTCAATGAGAGAGTTGCTGTGCCTTTTTCCCCATAAGGAAACTGAGAGTTTAAGTGAGTGATTTATGGTCAAATGGCTGATGAAGGGCAGTGATGATCAGATCAAGTGGAAGTGTTTTAAAGATGGGAGAGATGTGGGTATGTTCATAGGCAGCAGAGAAGGAATCCCTAGTTAAGGAGGGATTGAAGATTAGAGACAGTAGGACAATCTGTTAAAGAAAGTGGGATGGAATGGGATCCCTTGTGCTTGGAGAAGGGTTTGCTGTGCCAAGGAGAAAGGCCACCTCTTCATATGAGGCAGAGGTAGAAGAGCAGATGGGGGAAGACAGCTGAGGGATGCGAGGCAAGGAGGAGGGTAGGAAAGAGAACACTCAGGAGTAGCCTCTGGCTCTCATCCTCTCACAGCCAAATTTTGTAGCCACTGTCTCACCACTTCCACTTTTTTTTCCCCATTTCACTTCTACCATCTAGTTTCTGCCCTTACCGCTTAACAGAAAGTTCTCTCTTTCTTTCCATGCCCATCATTGGCATCTTCATCACCAAAGCCAGTAAGTGATACATTCCCTTCCACATGGTCCTCCTTCTGACTTGACCATTTTCATTATCCCAATTCACTGGAGGTATCCTGTTTTTGAAACCTAGTTTTTTCAGTTTTGACTCTTTCTTCTCCTTTGTTACTGATAAAGGAGCTGGTCATTTCCCAGGCTCCTTTGGTTAACTGTCCTAAATATCTCTGCCTCTCTACTTCTTCCTTTCTATCCTCTGGTCACAACAGGATCTCCTCAGTGGTCTTCTTGTCACCTTTCCAATCCATTATCCTTCATGCCATTGGCCGATTAATTGCTCTAATGTATAGATTTCATTAGGTCACTACTCAGCTCACAAATATTCAGTGGCTTCTTACTGCCCAATGGATAAAGTTGAGCCCTCTTCTCCATCATTCTAGGGCCGCCACTATGTGGATCCACCCTGCCTTCTTTTCAGTCTTATCTCATACTCCTCCCATCCAGTGAAACTGGACCACTTTCTATCCCTCCTGTTCACTCATGCCAAGGACATGCCTTACGTTTGCATGGTTTCCATGCCTTTGTTTACACTGTTCCATGTGCATGAAATGCACTCTCCCTCTGTTCACTCACTGAATTCCTACTCATCCTTTAAAGATTCCCCATCCTGTATGAAGCTATCACTGACCCCTTTCCTCCACCACCAGTCAAGGCCTCACTTTCTCCTCAGACCTTTGTAGGTAAATAAAGTGTTTATTATGGGCCAACTGTGTAAGGTGCTATGCTAAGTACTAAAGATACAAATACAATCAGCCAGATAGTCTCTGTCCTCAAGGAGCTTACATTGTGATGGAGAAAGAACATGCAAAGGGGAGATGATGAGAAATGTACCCTGAGGGAGAAGTGTATCAGTTTTGTGCTGGTGGAACTCAGGTGAAGGTCTGACTGTAGTTGATATAAGATGAACACTCATCTCTCAGAGCTCAGGTGGTTCCAGGGGCAAAGTCCAAGTTTCAGGTGGGAATGAGATGGTAATAATGACCAGAGGGGAGAAATCATTGCTTGGATCTGGTGGCCAAGAAATGAGTGCAATGCATGATTTTAGGGGAGATAAGTTAAAAATAAACCGTTTGGAACTCAGATTTTTGCCAGAGGGAAAGACTAACATTTGTACTTTGCAAATATATTTGTCAAGTTATGATGTGTATTATAGTTAGGGGTATTTTTATCTTATCCTCAAACTGTACAGTAAAGTTCATCCAGTCAGGACAATGTCTCATCTAAACTTTCATCTCTTCTAGGGCCTAGCAATGTATATGGCATATAGTTAGCACTAGACCAAGACTGATACAAAAAAAAAAAGTGTTCACTCTTTTAAGGGAGACTAGAAAGAAAAGATGCTTATTTGCCTGAATTTTAAAAACAATCAAGAATGACCAATTTGAATTGGGAATTTTTAGTGTTTAATGTAATTCAACTTTACAAGTTGGAATATAAGTATGCCTTACTTTTCAGTCTAGTCCAGGTCATTAAGCCAGTGTTCAAAGATGTCTCAAACAACATCACTGATGTGAATTTACAACCAGGTAATGTAAGAAGACTTAAGCACTTTGGCTGATTTTATCATTAACTCCTTAAGTGACCTTGAATCAAGAACTTCACCTCCATACCTCCATTTCCCTAGTGTACGATGATACTACCAAGAGAATGAAGTGGATGGGCCTTTGGGAAGTGGAGTGGGGCTTATGTTTATTGGGCTCAGAGTTCTGTCCTTACTAACCATTTTTTTTTCCTTGTGAATTCCCACAGGCCTGGCTGTATTGGTTGCCACAGCATGGTATGGAAATAGAGTTGCTCGAGAGTTCTATGACCCCATGACCCCTGTCAATTCTAGGTAATGCCATTTATTTTTTATCAAGGTCATGGTTTTCTGAGGTTTGTCTTTCAGTGTTCTATGGACACCAGCTAATGCTGGGCCTCCTCACATTTTCAACTAAGAGTTTGTAGATGAATTCTTCAAACTTTCTAGCTGACTCTTTGTAGCTTGACCTGTGATTAAATGTTGAAAGGAACACAAGGAAAACTTTCTAAGTGGAGAAAATCGGTTGCATAAAACTCTGATCCATTCCCCAGCCTAGGTTCCAAAAAATTATGATTTCTATTTGTCTTACTCTGGTGTTGGAGACCATTAGTAAAAACAGACAGTCACAATGTCATCCCAGCACATTCAGCTTTGAAGTTTATTGTTTGCTGTGCTTTTACAACATCTTAGCTGTTAATTATTACTACCATCCCTTGGGAGATAAACGTTAAATAGTAATTACCCCTGAGGTGGCAGATAGAGCTTTATTCCCAGTCTGACATTGAAAAGAAATACTGAACTCCCAGCAGTTCAGCTTGGGTTTAGACTGGAATGGAAGAAGAGGCAGAATCCAAAAAGAATTCAACAAGCCAAAACTTGGGCTGATTCCATTAAGATGAAACATTCTAGGGGTCAATGTAAAGTCTTTCACTTGGGTTTCAAAGATCAGCTTCACACGAGAGAGACATGTTTACTTAACAATTTGTGTGAAAAAAAAAAGATGTGGTGATTTTTAGAGGACTGCAAACTCCATGTGAACAGTAGGGTTATATTGCCCCCAGACTTAGAAGCTATGGTGACCTTGGGCTTCTTTGGGAGGCATTAGAGAGTAAAGGAAGTGATGACTGCCTCTGCACTCTATCCTTCTTTAACCTCATCTCTAGGACGGTATTCAAGGAAAGGAGGGATATGCCTAGTTCTGCTTGTCTCAAGAGAACAGAACCACAAACGTTGGGGAGAGGTTGCCAAATGGCAAATGTAGGCTAGGTGTCAGGACAAATTTCCTAACTATTAAAAGCCTCTGCACTGGCTCCACCATTAAGGAGCCCTTTCACCAGGCTGGCCAGCCATCGCTTGCAAGGCTAGGATACTGGGGCCCTTCTTCAGGGATAGGGGGGATTAGTTGAAATGCCACTGGCTGTCAGTCCTGTGGTTCTGTGAGTGAATCTCAGCTCAGTGGCTAAGTATAGTCTCTTGAGTTTTAAAACTTTGATCTCAGCATAAGCTTGACTCTTGAAGGTAAAAATGCCCAACGAGGCTGAGTCATGGAGGTCAAAGACTCAGGCAGGGCCTAGAATCATTGCTCTGACTGTTTGACCAAGTTTTGAGACAACACGCTCCTTCATTCTCCTCACCTATAAACAATGCCACATTTAGCATGATGCATGGCATATTAAGGACTTAATGTTTATAAGTGCTGTGAGAAAAATGGATGGAAGTTAGAAGGCAATGTAAATCAGGGAGAAAAGTACATTTATATAATACCTGGTTACAAGAGAGGCTGAAACATAATATAGGTTATGAGCTGGAAGCGACCAGAGTGGTGACCTAGTCCAACCCTGTCACTGAGCTCCAGAATGGGGAAAAGCATTGTCCAGTGTCCCAGAGAAAGCAAAGGGCACACCTGGGATTCCAACCCAGGTCCACTGTCTCCAAAATCCAGTGTGCTCATGCCCACCATGCACTACCTCAGCTAGGATGGAATGTCTCCCATTAGCCTTATAGAACCTGCAAGGGCAGCAGCTCCTGAAAAGGAACGTTCCCAAGTACAGGCCAAGTATGACACTTCAGATGCCTGTGTCCATGATCATTTTGCCTACATAGAATGGTGTATTTATTTGGAGAATTGATGGATAAGTTAAAATGAACTATTCCAGGAATAAGGAAATGCTGGTCCCATTGTTTTCTGCCCTGCCTAGAACACCTATGGTGTATAGTTATAAGGGCCATGTCTAGGAAAGACACTAAGGGATAGGAGTTTCTCCACAAGGAGGCAACCAGGATGATGAAGGTAAGGGCCTATAGTCTGTGCCATATGAGAATCTATTGAAGAAACTGGGCATGTTTAGCATGGAATAGAGAAGAAATGGGAGAGGACACAATAGCTTCCTTCAGGAATTTGAAGGGCAATCTTGTAGAAGAGACATTAACTTTGCTCTACTTGGCTCAAAAGGGTATAACCCAGAGTAATGGGGTTAAGTTGAGAAAAGGCAAGTCTTGATTTGAGGTCAGGAAAATCTTCTTGACAATAGATCATCCTAAAGTGGAAGAGACTTCCTTGGGGTGTTACCTCATCGAATGCCTTCAAGCAAAAATTGGGCAGTCACCTGCTAGGGCAGGGGTTGGCCTGGGTGGTCACTGAGGTCCCTTCTGAAACTGAAATTTTATTGCTAGGAATTAGAAGAGTTCACAGGATTCTCTTAAAAGCCCCGTGGAATGGGGACAACTTACCGCCTACCCCTTGCCCTCTAAGAAACTTGTCCTAGCCAGAAGGAAAGTTTCTTAGGAAGCATCTAAAAGTTGGGGCCAGTACCCTGGAAAGGTTTGCAGGAATGACTTTTAACTGTGGAAAAGGATTAGGTCTGCTGGCCCAAGCAATAATTACTTCCCACTCCCAGGGATTGTGGCGAAGGGACAGGTCTAAGAACATAATGTTTACTCTTTGCGGTCGGGTGGGCAGAAGATGGGCATATTGTACATGGACCGCGAGTTGCTATTGTCTCCAAGACCAAGTGACTTTTTGTTTTGTTTTGTTTCATTTTGTTTGGTTTTTTCCTCTTCCACTCTGTTGCTTCCTCTTAGGTATGAGTTTGGACAGGCTCTCTTCATAGGCTGGGCCTCGGCTTCTCTGTGCCTGCTGGGAGGTGCACTCCTTTGCTGCTCCTGTCCCAAGAAAACAACCTCTTACCCAACTCCTCGCCCATACCCGAAGACCACACCCTCCAGTGGAAAAGACTATGTGTAACAGAAAGAAAGAGGACACAGCCACTCGGGAAAAAAACAAAACAAGGACTTAGAGAATGTTTTTCTTTTGGTTTTTTTTTCATTTTTTTTAAATCATGAGGCACTCAGACCTTCTGACTATGATATTCTACATTTTTGTATTAAAATGCATTTTTTTTGGTAATTTCCATACCTTCTTTCATATCCTGCCCCTAATAAGAAATCTTGCATTGTGATCCTTTACTCCATGTAATCCTGGAGCTTTGGTGTTTCTCCATTGGCTGCCTACCCAGGGGAGGCAAACCTAAAGGGAAAACTAGTTCATTTTGTAAAAAAAAATAAAATCCATTAAAATGACAAAAACTAAAACCTTGTAGGTGATAGGCCCTAATCTCACTCTCATGTTTCCTTTTTAAACAAAACAGGAAGATTCAAAACCAGACTCTCATACTTCCTAGCTGTGTCTTCACCTCATCTGTAAGATTGGGCTTGGGCAAGACCACTTCCGAGTCCCCTGTGTATGATCCCCATAATGTATTTTCAAGTTTTTTGGGATATTTAATCCTACAGTAACAGCCCGGATGAGCTTGACTTGGTACGCTGAGTATATTAGGTGTGTGACTGTTTTGTTTTAGTATTTTGGTTTGTGCCACAATCAGCCAATCATAAAGGGATTTGATGGAAAAGAGAGAATAGGGGGGCCTGAATCATTCCAACAAATATCTCTTTCTTCACCAGTCACTTGGGTTTCCTTAACCCAATCAATCACCTGTCTAGTCTCCCAGGCCACAGGGGTTACTCTAAATGCTCAATCTGAACCCTCAGACCTTGACCTTGGGGGAGGAGCATATGCTACCTTATTGTTGCTTTGTTCCATGTTTCAGCCCAGTTATCCTTGGAGACATTTTGTTCTATCTTGGTTCTCTTGCTGTGGATATTTCAGCTCATTTCATGCTCTCAGCTTTTCCACCCCCAATCTGGGATGTTCTGAGGAAAAAAAGAGGAAAAGAAAAAAGAAAAAAAAACATTTTTTGAGACATATATATATATATATATATATATATATATATATATATGTACGTATGTATGTATCTGTGTGTGTGTGTGTATATATATGTGTCCTCCCCCACCTTTCCATGTTTCCTGAACCATGGGGCAGTGTCAAAAGCTCCATAGCTTTCCTAGACTGATCTAGGATTCAGTACTAATTTAAGGGCCTGTTATGGGCCAGGCCCTGTACAAGGCTTCTGCTAGAGAAATGCAAAGCTGAAACAAACCCTGCCCTCATGGAACTTCCACTGAGGGCTTTTCCAGATGTTGCCAAAAACATTTTATTGACATAATTCTAATACTGTCTTGCTCACAGTTTCGTATTCTGCCAAGAAGCACCACCCTTCCTCCCCCTTCCCTTTCGCCACCCCGTTTCTGGTTTCCTAGCTGTTTACCTGGTCGTTATCTTCCAGTTGGCTTCTCCCAAAGAGGTGTGGTCTGTTTGCCTGGTTGAAGATTAGATATTCTGTGGAGATAATCTACTGCTGAATACCCCTGCCCCCTCCCCAATCCTCAGGCGGCATCTCTACCTCTGATTTTCTGCTCTGTAAAATATGAATAATGATACTTCACCCACTAGTGCAGGGAGGTAGGAGAATTAATGAATAATTAATTAATCTCCTCTTTGAACTTGAAAAGTGCTAAGTAGTATGGCCTGCTGCACATGAAACCCAGGAATGAAGCCCCTTTCCCATCCTTCAACACCCCAAGTTCCACCTCTCATCCCTTTTCTTTCAGCTGTGCCTAACCTATCAGTGATCATGGTCCATTTTTCATCAATCCTTTCCTGCCTGGATGTATGTGTCCCCATATGTATGTATGTCTGTGTGTGTGTGCCCCTGAATGTATATATGCACCTGTGTGTGGCACTCCAGGCAAGAGGAAGTCTTCATATAGACCACACCTGGTATTTCTTTCTAAATGCCTGATGGGAAAATTATAAAGCACACCTGGGTTCCCACATGGTGGTCATCTCAAGAGAATAGAAAATTGAATGGGACCAAGTTCACTTTAAAAAGTGAAAGGCCTTGGAAGGCCACAATTGCCTGGTTAATTCAGAACTTTTGCTTTGCCGTGAGGCCTTGCCTTCTAATCCAGGCTATACATATCCTTCCTTCCCAATAAGCATTTGGCAGAACTAATGATTACTAGGAGGATGATTGCCTAAAATACAGCAGCTGGTGTTTTCATGAGTAGTCATAGGTCTTTGGGAAAACTGGTGCTCTTCCTCTCCCTAGAAAGATATCTCCCTCCATGTTTTTGTTCATTTGCTTTCTTTTTGTTAGTCTTTTTTTTTTTTGAATGCGATGACACATTTTAACAAATCACCTTCAGAGCTACTGTCACTGTTGGTGGAGAAGAGAAATGAAGAACATTGCAGTAGACTTCTGGAAACCTGTATTTCCAAAAACCTCTTCCATGAATCCTGCCCCACCCCCCTTCTGTCCCAGATCCCAATGACAAATAGAAACGTATTGTCAATGCTGGTACCAGATTGAAAAGGTCTCTGGTCAAAACTAAATGCTGATGTGTCAATGGTTATTTTGTGTTCTGCTTGCACAGCTGAGAAACAATGAATAGACTTTTTTTAAAAATGTAAACTTATAAGAAAGTTTGTTTTTTTTTTCAATAAATATTTGGGGTTTGTTGTTTTTCTAAAAAAGGAGTTTCTTGCTTTGAATTGTCTGATGTTGTCCCAGTATGTGTCAGAGGAAACTTCTTCCACCATTTCTGCCCATTTGATCTCGGGTAAATTCTGTCATTCTCTGGGCCTCAACTTCCTCCTCTGTGAAATGAAGGTGGTGACCCACTAGATGACCTCTTCCAGCCTTCGAGCTCCGAGGTCAATCCTGACACCTGGAGGGAATGTCAAATTCTTTAATCTCAGTTGAGTCAATCCAAGTGGGAGGGACTAAAGTGTCTGTGTTAATGCTCCTTGTCCCAACTGTCCCCCCACTGCACCATGTAGTTAGTCACCTCATACTTAGTAACACCTACTATGTGCCACATGTACTAAAAGCTGGGAATGCCAAAGTTGGCAAACACCAGCCCCTGCTTTGGAATAGCTCCCACTGCAGACCTGGAGGCAGGGATGGTCCTGGGTGAAACAGTGGACAGGCTCACGCTTGGGGGATGGCCCGCTCTTCTACTTTTCCACTTCATTCCTCATGGAGCGTAGTATCCTTCCCTTCTTTCTTCCTGTTTTTTTCCTCTTCACTCAATTCTGTTCTATGAAATGATCTTTTATTTGCCATTTAGAGAAATGAGCTGACGGAATAATGTCTTACTTCTCCTCAGATTCACATGTTAACTATAAGCTAGGTTTAGTTGTTTTAAGTCAAAAGGATGAAGTTCCCATTTTGTCCAGATTGGAAGGGGCAGTGGCTGAGGCCAGATCTCCAGCTGTCCTGGTTACCCCCTGCCCACTCAGGTAAGGCAAGTCCCAAGGAGTAGTCTGCTGCTCACTCACAAAGGGCTTTGTTTGCAAGATCTGTGCAGTCTGTCCCTGGGCAAGAAATCGATTGGGTAAAATACAACCAGTTATTCCTGCTTGTTAGTGTGTCAACATATTAAAGGGGAATGAAGAGGCCAGGCCTGAGCCAAGCCAAACTGTAGTTCTCTCTTTTTGCAAAGCTCCTGATTTCTGACTCCCAGCAAGACTGTTTAATTTAACAAAATATGTTTCTATGTGGCTCCCTTCACCCACAAGAGATTTATCTCTGATTCATATGATCTCTTTGACTCCTTCTCTCCTTTCTGTACTTCTTTCTCTGTCATTCACTTATTTTCTCTTTCTCCCTCCTCTCTGTTTCTCATTATTTGCTTCCCTCTCTCCTTCCTTCCCTCTCTGTCTCTATCATTTCTCTATCTATTTCTGGCTCTATTTCCTGCCTCCTCCCTCTCTGTCTCTCTTCTTCCACTTTCCTTTCTCTTTGCCCACTCCTTAGGCACATCTGGATACTATTCAGTCATTCCCAAGCCATTCTGAAGATTGGCATCTTTGTCCCCTGAATGCAGCCTCTTCGGTGTCCTGAGATTGATGGGATGATAATACTGATGACACAGGGATGATGATACTGACTTGTCTCTCCCCTTATTATTCTGTTGTTCGATCATTTCAGTCATGTCTAACTCTTCATGACCCTTTTTGGGGGTATTCTTGGCACAGATACTGGACTGGCTTGCCATTTCCTTCTCCAGATATGTATATCTCAGATGAGGAAACTGAGGTAAACAGGGTTAAGTGACTTGTCTAGGGTCACACAATAAGTGTCTGAAGCCAGGTTTGAATTTAGGAATACTCATCTTCCTGATTCCAGGCATGACAATCTATCTTCTGTGCTACCTAACTGCCCACTAATTATTTTAGGCATCCCTTATCTGGTACCTCCGGAGGCTCTGAAGCAGTCAGAGATGTTTCCGATGATCTCAGAGAAGGAGTGGAAAATCCCCAAGGAGTTGTGTACACCTTTGCTCTCACCTGGGGGTTTTCTCATCCTGCCTGGTCAAAGGAAACGCACCAAAAGCCCCCACCTAAAGCTTAGCACCTGAGCGCAAACACTCACAGACTCTTGTCTCCAATGTTTCTTTCTAACCCCCTTCGCCTCAAGCTGCCTTTCCCAAGATTATGTTTGCCTCTTTGCAAAGCCTTCTTTTGGTCAGATTTAGCCATGGGGCACTAGTCAATCTGGGAGCAGGCACCAGAAGACAAACGCCTTCAGATTTTGATCTCTTGAGTTCCCTTTCGGGGCTAGGCGGAGCACCTAGAAAAATATTCAGAGACCTCTCCCTCCCCTTCCCTTCAGAGCTGCTGAAATTCCTAAGTGTGCTGTTTCAGTAAAGTTGCCTTGATCCAGAGCACAATGGAACCCCCTCCAATTAGAAGGAGCTAAAGTCTGAAGAGGGGACTCAGAGCCTATTCAGGGAACTGGCTGAAACAGCCCAGGGCGCATTGTGTTCCACTGAAAAACAGAGACGGCTGGCCCCCTCCCTGCAAAGGAGGCTGCTAAGACTGCCCGGCTTCCTGCTCCTGTGGGCACAGCTGAGATCCTTGCCTAAGGGCCTCCAACAGGACAGTCAAGTTGGACAGGCTGGTGCTTTCCTGAAGGGCAGCCATGCCTACAGTACCAGGTGCTTGGTTAGGGAATGTAGGCATGTCGCAGGTACAATCACCATGGAGCTGTTCTTCTGTGGACCATTAGAAGAGAGATTTAGAGCTAGAAGGACATTTAGAGTTTTAGGAAGGGGGAGGAAACTGAGGCCCACATGCTTGAAGTTCACCCAGGTACCAAATAACAGAGCTTGGATTTGAATCCAAGGCATAGGAGATAAATGCAGTACACTTTCTGCCAAATCATGCTAATATGGGCACACTTAACACTGGGCAGCTAGGTGGCTCTGTGGATAGAGTGTGGTATTTGGAGTCAGGAAGGCTCATCTCCTGAAGTTTGAATCCAGCCTCAGATCTTTGCTAGCTGTGTGATCCTGGGCAAGTCACTTAACCCTGTTTGCCTCGGTTTCCTCATTTGTCAAATGAGGTGGAGAAAAAAAAATTGCAAATCATTCTAGTATTCCTGCCAAGAAAACCCCAAATAGTGTCATGGACGTGACTGAAAAATGACTAACACAGGGCACTGAACCACAGAATTATTCTGAAACAAAGCTAAAGTTTGCCAGGTTTGTCTTGGGGAAGGAGGTTGGACTTTAAACATAAGCCATATATTTTAGATGTTTTATCTGTCCTTTCCCAATTTCTGACTTTTGAGGCCCATTCCCCTATGGCTAAATGCAAATCTATCCATCACCTTCCCCTATAAAAGACAGTTTGAGGAAGGGTTTTGAGAGGAGCCTTGGAAGGAGCTGAGGGTGTTTAACCTGGAGAGGAGAATTCAGTGTGGGAAGCAGGAAGGATCCGGGAAGGAAATGACATCTAGCTTCAACTATGTGAAGAGCTACCACCTTGAAGGGAGTTAGACCTGTTCTGTTT